GGTAGGGGGGTGGGTGGGTGTGGAAAGTCTTTCAACCATTTTGCTTCAGCCCCTGTTTATATAACACTGTCCCAAGACTAAGACTCCTCAGATTGGCTTGACTCTGGGATTCACCAGCTCCTTCCAGTTCGATGGTGGAATATGGGTGGCCTCCTTTACTTCAGAAGCCAGGGCCATTGATTAAGACCAATACCCATCTCCTGCTGGATGAGAGATGCTTAATTACTCTACAAAAAGGAAGTCCACTGCAGTAGGGCAGCTTCACGGCTCTCTAAAAATAGAGACCATAGGTTATTTTTAAAAACCCTCCTGGCTATGAGTCAGTTTTCTCCAGAGTTTCTCTGATGAAGGGAAACCACACTGCCGTGTGGACATTTTCAACCTTCTGAAACATTGCCCCATGGACAGAACCAACCACGCCAGCTCCCAGTGAGGAAATACAGAGGATGTATGTGCCAGGGTGCTGAGACCAGGGCTGTCTTGAAACAGGTGCTCCATGTCAGTAAGGTGGAGCTGCTTCCAGCGCCAGCTCTCAGTGGCGGTGTTGAGCAGGGTGGCTTTATAATCATTGTGGCTTTATTCTTTCCTGGTTCCAGGAAGATTCATAATCTAATGAAGAAATATTTGCTAAGGAGGAGTTGTATGGCATGAGTGAATCGGTCTTCCCGAGATATCAATTTTACTTGCTTTACAGAACATCAAAAAGAAATTTTAAGTGATAAATGCATTAATCTACAGCTACTTACGATTAGCCTACTCTGGCTAAAATGGGAATACATTATCTGCAAGACATCTTTCATACTCCCAAGGCACTTTAAAATAATGAAAACATATAAAATCATATCTGAGTAATTAAAGTAATGGCAAATAAAAACTTAGCACTGTGTGGAATTGCCTATCAGGGCAATGCATCTCTTTTTATAAGCCCTTTGTGATATTGCTATTAATTTTTAAGTAACAAAATATTGCTCCAGAACCAAAAATGGGATATTAACTAACACATACACAATTAATTGCTTTGAAAATGCCAAGTCCTAGGTTCTGGTTTATACAAAGGAATTTCTGTGGGTATCTAGTAAATTCTACACCCAGTGGCTGCTTGCTGTAAGCTGTGGAGGAGACTGAATTGAGGTCTTTAAAAGAGAGAAGCCAGAGCTGGGGGGATGCCTCAGCAATAGTGCTTGACAAGCAAGCCTAATAAACATTATCAGCCCCCCCCCAAAAAAAAAATGCCAGATGTGGCAGCTTCTGTCTGTAATCCCAGCACCGCTAAGGTGAGACACTGAAGGTGGAAATGTAGACAGGAGAGCCCCCTGAGGGCTTGTGAGGGCAGACCCGCCCTTAAAAAACAAGATGGAACAAGAAAACATACTCTTTGAAAGTATCTCTGTGTTACTCAGGCAGGCCTTGCACTCCTGGGCTCAAGTAATCCTCCTACCTCAGCTTTCCGAATAGCTGGACAGACCAGCATACCCATGTGCCAGACTATCAGAATTTTTTGAGGGGGCCCATGCTCCCTCTTACAGATCTTAAGTAAATATTAATGTATTTAAGAGTCCAAGAACTCCTGAATTCCTGAAGGAGAAAAAGGCAGTCTGTTCAAACTTGCTTTGACTCCTGTTCTGGGAATGTACACATTTCTTCTTCATGTGCAATAAGCAAATATTATTTGAATGTCAGGACACAGAGCTTGGACCAGATGAAAAGCCAAGACTTTTATATCTAAAAGACAAAAGTATCCCATACCTCTGCTCTTCTTTCTTTCCCTTGGAGCCACATTTGTCTGATGGCTCCCAGTGGAGAAAGTATGTTTATTTACCAATGTGCCAGCCCCAAGTTGGGGCTCTCATACTCAGCTGCAGACTAAGAACAAGCTTTGAAGTGGAATCTCCCAGAGCCCAGCAGAGTGACCTGAGTCTTGAACTTGGGCCTGCTTACACATATGAAAAACACATTCAGGCTGGGCCTGGACCTCAGAAGAGGAGCGCTTGCCTAGCATTCATGAGGGCCTAGGTTTGATTCCACACATAACAGGGAGGCAGGCAGTGGAATAAAACAGGCATTTAGGTAAAGTCAAATCATGGAGTCAGGTTCCCAGAAAGACCTACCCACCTGTCGTCCTCAACCCTCCGAGAGTTTTGACTCTGGTAAGACACACGCTTTCCCCCTCACTGGTGAACCCCACCTTCGGTTAATTCCAGCTTCAGGTGAACCTTGGGCATTAATACTGATTAACTGTCAGCCTGATCTTTATTCAATTATATCAATATTTTAAGGCTGACACATAAAAGCAAATATTTGCCTCTTGAGGTAAAGTAGGCGACTTTTAAACAAACAAAAAAAAACTTTGTCTGAATCATTAATGAGCATTTTTTATCAGTTTTTTCCTCCCAAGTTTTGAGAGAACTTGTCTAGCAAACTATATTTACTGAGTAATTAATTTGTTTTCCCTTAAAGAAAATTAATCCCAAACACATTATCACTTGGCTGCCTTCCCAGCCAAACACAGATACGAGTTATCTGAATTCTATTCGTTTGTTGAGTTTTAAGTGTTTCGTTTATCGTGATTTCCAGTACATCATGTCTAAGTAAACATACAGAGCTTTCATGATTCTGTTGAACGGCACCCTTAGTGAACAGGGGTTAGGAGCATAGCGGCTGATGACAGTTCGTGCAACCCAATGGCATGCATTTGAATTCATTTGCTCACTCCTTATTTCTCAGTGAAGACGGGAATCTTGCCAATGGAGAGTCAGCATCCACGGAAATTTCCTATCTTTGGTGTAATAAATCCACCACCAAGATCCTAAAACCTTGGCAAGAAGAGCTTGCTAACTCCATTTCCATGATGCTCAACACGCCTCACCCAAGCTCCCTGTGCTGATGACAGCCCCAGGCCACCACCTGTAGCTTCAGTAGAAATATTTCTAGACCTATCCACGGGAGTTGGGGGGGGGGCGCTCTAGCTCTATAGTTCTGGAATTGAGCGAGTTTCCTGTCTGCTCCTCTTACATTCAGGATTACTTTTGGTTTTTAATGAGGAGAGGGAAAAGAGATGGCCCCCTTATGTAGCCAAGACTACCCTTGAACTCCTTATGTAGCCAAGAATGAACATGAATTCCTAATAGTCCATTTGCCGAGGACTAGAATTGCTGACTTATGCCACCACGACCAGCTTTCAAGGTTGCTGGGGAGGGAGGATCTCTTTGTTTAGTCCTGACTGGCTTCAAGCTCACCGTCTCCCTGCCTTAGCCTCTTAAGTGCTGGGATTTCACCCTCAGTGAGGTTAGTTGGTCTATCGAAAGAGCAGTCTAGTGGAAAGTGTGAGGCAAACGCAAAAGACGGATGCAAGGGGAAGATGCCCTGGCCTAGTCTTCATGCCCCTCCTACCCCCCACCCCCACCCCCGCCTTGGAGAGAAGGACCAAACGGCTGAAATGAGGTGATGTCAGCCCCAAACCTAGCTGCTCTGCGGAGCACCCCACCCCCACCCCAGCTGCTCAACACATCCCTGCTGTGATCTAAGCCTACCAGGCAGTTAGCTGCTCCTCCCCCGGGGGAGGATGCACCTGGGCTAAGCAAAAGCACAGGCATTTACCCTGCTGAACTCCAGGAGTTGACAACCAGTAGGCGCAAGACGCTGGTTAGGAGGTTCCTCCAGAGCTGTCCCGATAGGAGACCTGACATGTGCCTGATTTCTAGAATACTCCAGGGAGAGCATTATTCCCTAAAGGAGTTTGTGAAATTCGCAATCTGAAGCAACCTCACCCTGCTTCCCCTGAGGCCCACATGGAAGAAGGCACAGGGAGCAAAGGGCTCTGTAGTATGTCCAAGATCCTACTCCAGTCCTTCTGTATACACCCCCACAGGCAATCTATAACACGGGACACACTACCCTGGGACAATCTGAATATAGTGACAGCCAATGGCCAATGACCCCCCCCACCCCCCACTGCTTGGCAACAATACTTTCCCAGGCAAAGAGGAAATGATTTAGACAGAGTTTCCAGCATCCTAAAAGCAATAGAAGCCTAAACTAGAGCTTAGTGAGTTGTTTTAAAATGAAACTGTGTGTCTTTGGTACAGAGTTGTGGACTGGGACCTTCTTTCCAGCCTGTGATAAAGATGGGGAACAGAGAGGCTTAGTCATCAGAGCAGGGGCCAAACTCCCAGTCCCCCACCAGCCTAGCTCACTGTGCACACCCTTCCCACCTGTCTGCCCATCTGCAGGTCCAGCATGTCTTCCGCAGCAGCCAGGAGTCCATCTCTCAGTGGTCTGAAGTTTCCAGTCTCGGCAGATGTGCGAATGAATGCCAAGGATTTACTTCCAGGGTGAACACACTGTCAGGATGCCAGTATGTTCTCATATACAGGAGGGTGTAGAGAGGCTTGTGGGAGATCCATCTTGTTTGCTCCTTGTGCTACACTCCTTTTGTTCAAGGTGTGGAACCAGCCCAGATGTCTGTTCACACATGAACAGATAAGGGAAACATAGTCAGATTCCCAGGGAAACTTTAGCCAGCTGTTGGAAAAGTGAAATTAAAGCCTTTGGTAGTAAATGATAGAGCTGGAAATCATCATTAGAAACAAAACAAACATGATTCAGAAAAACAAATATTTCGTTTTTCTCTCATATGCAAAATCTAGATTTAAATTTGGATGTATGTGGTGTTTCTATGTGTTTGTATGCATGTGCTCATACATGTTGGACATAAAAGCAAGTGGGAGTTACAGAGAGAGAAAGAAGATATCTGAAAGAAAGTCACTGGAATATATTTTGACTTTATACAATGTGACATAAAATCAGGAAGGGGACTGTATTAGTCAAAAAAAAGTGTATATGTGTAAGCCTGAGATACTCCAGATAACTGACTCTAACCATAAAGTTCAGATTTCTTTCTCACCTGGAGAGCTGGGGAAAAAAACAAAAAATAAATTATTGAGCCAGAGTTTCACTTCTCACATTCTAACACCCGAGGAAGGTGCTAATAAACTCTGTTCCCCCAGGAAGGACAAAAATAGGGAACCAGGAGTCTGGACAGGGCACTGCATAGTAACTTAAAGTCACCTGAACTTTTAACCAGATCCAGTTTGTGTTTGACTTCTCTGAGTTTGCTGGTTAGTGTTCTGTCAACGTGATACAAGAAAGGTTCATCTGGGTAGAGGGACCCTCAACTCAGAGAATGCCTCCATTAGACTGATCTGTAGGCAAGTATATGAGGCATGTTTTAAATTAATGATTGATATGAAACGGCCCAACCCATGAGGGTGGTGCTACCCTGGGCAGGTGGTCCTGGGTGTGTAAGAAAGCAGCCTGAGCCTGGCATGGTATGCACACCTTTAATCACAATATTCCAGCACCAGGGAGACAGAGGCAGGTGCATCTCTGTGAGTTTAAATCCAGCCTGGTGTATATAGTGAGTTCCCCAGGGTAGCACACGCTACTCCATGGCCTGTGCATCAGCTCCTGCCTCCAGGTACCTGAGTCATGTCCTGACTGCCCTCACTGGTGGACTGTGACCTGAGAGTTGTAAGATGAAACAATCCCTTTCCTCCCGAGTTGCTTTCAGTTATGGTGTTTTATCACAGCAAGGGAAAGCAAACTACAGCACCAGTTCTCACTGATCATTAAAATATGCAAATTAGGGGCCAGGGGCATGGCTTGGTTCAGAAAGGTACTTGCCACCTAGCCTATCTTGAGCCCTATCCTCCCTAGGACCCATGTGACAGAAGTGAGAGAACTGACTCTCATAAGTTGTCTCCTGATCTACACACCTACACACACACACACACACACACACACACACACACACAAAAAATGCAAGTAAATTAGATTTCTCCAGAAAACGGTTCCTCCCTCCCTCCCTTTCTCCCTCTCTCCTGTTAGACCCTCCGAAAACTCAGGCCTCCGGGGTCACAGCCCAGGACCTTGGTCACCCCAATCACCGGGTGGATTCGAAAACTTGCTGCAAACTGCATGAGGCTTTATTGTTGTTTAACGAGCTAACCCCATGTTAGCTCGGGTCTTTCACCCACCCGCCGTGGTGGATGGCTAGCAAAGACAACTCGAACCAGATACATAGAGATCTTGTAGGGCAGCATAAGGGGAGTGTCTAGGGGTAGGCACAGGCTCAGGATTGGTGTGCCTCCAGGCTTGGAGGGCTTGCCCTGTGTTGATTGACCAATTGGTTGTTATGGCCCATAGGCCCTCCCAGAGTGGTTGCTATGCTCCGTGCGTCATTGCTGTGTACTTGTCTGTAAAGCACACCCAGAGCCGTAAAGCATAGCACCACCAGCTAACTTCTGATTGGTTCCTCGAGGCAGGCATCTGACTTCTAATGACTAGGACAAGGTCATGGCAAGCACGTGTTACTGTCATGGCTACCAAAATGGGGAGCTGGTCCCTTCAACTCCCTCCCTCTCTTTCTCCCTCCCTTTCCCTCTCTCTCCCTCCCCCTCACTCCCTCTCTCCTGTTCATTTTTCCCCAGCAACAAAGGTGCACATTATATATAGTGTTTATCCCAGAGTCAGTTGGAATACCTGGGGCCTGAAAATGGACACTAACATGACAGAGCCCTGGTTGCTGTGAACCCTAAGACAAAAAGACAGCTCAAAGCTGGGCAACTGTGTGTTTGTTAGATATGTAGCTTATTTGCTTCTGTCCTAGTCTCCCAGAGTGTCTTCACTGTCTTGTCTTATTTGCAGGGCAGACCCTGTCTTCTAACACAGTCCTGAGTAATGAGCAAAGGGGAACTGTACTGCTGTTTCCTTAGAAAGAGGCTCAAGACGCCAGAGAAGAACACTAGGAATTCTCCACAGCTTCCCCAGAAAGCCTAAGTCTGGGTGAGTCCATGCACAGCGGTATGACTGACCCCTGGGGCAAGGGACGCCTAACAGTCTTGCTTGGAGTTCACTTGTGAGATTGAAGGGACCAGCTCCCCATTTCGGCAGCCATAACAGCCGAACACATGCTTGTCTGACCTTGTCTTAGTCACTAGGAGGTTAGGTGCCTGCCTTGTGGCAAGGAACCAAACAGAAATTAGCTAGTGGTGCTATGCTTTACGGCTCTGGGTGTGCTTTACAGACAAGTACACAGCAATGATGCGCCGAGCATAGCAACCACCCTGGGAGGGTCTATGGGCTATAACAACCAGTTGACCAACACAAGGCAAGCCCTCCAAGCCTGGAGGCACACCAATCCTGAGCCTGTGCGTACCCCTAGACACTCCCCTTACGCTGCCCTATAAGATCTCTATGCAAACGCTTTGAGCTGTCTTTCCTAGCCATCCACCATGGCGGGTGGATGAAAGACCCGAACTAACATGGGGTTAGCTCATTAAACAACTACAATAAAACCTCGTGCAGTTTGCATCAAGCTTTCAACTCTACCAGGTGATTGGGATGACCGAGGTCTTGGGCTGAGATCCTGGAGGCCTGAGCTTCCGGAGGTCTTACAAGATAAAATGCAGATGTGTCTGGCTGAGGAGAAACCTACATTTTTGTCTTTCCAGGCACCAGTGTAAAGAAGAAAAAGCAAGCCCTTCCCAGACCTTGTCTCTTGTAACTTTGATTTCCTGTGTGCTAATTTTCTTCTGAAAGGAAAATGCAAGGAAGGTTTGCCTGGCTACTGCAGTTTTACCAAACAACAACATCAGAGTTCCCACCTGGACCTTGAACTAACTTTACAATTTCTATACATGCCATTTAAAGAATCTGATGGTAAGTTGGGGATGTAGCTCATGGGTAGAGCACTTCTCCATGCTTGAGGTCCTGGATTCAATCACCCTAATTCAATGACAGCCTGGGTTAAACAAGACCCTGTAACTTACACACACACACACACACACACACACACACACACACACACACACCAGAAGAATGGCTAAAGAAAATGTGATTTTATATTTATATATATATATATAGTTATATATAATAGATATATATAGTTAATTGATTTTTTCATTCATAAAAAAGAATGAAGTTTTGTCATTTGAAGAAAATGAATACAACCAGCAGTAAATCATATTAAGCAAATTAAGCCATTCTCAGAAAGACAACATTTGTTTTGTTCTTCCAGAAGACCTGAGTTCAGTTCTCAGCACTTACCATGGGCAGCTCACAATGACCTAACTCAAGCTTTGAGGGACCAGACACCCTCTTTTGGCCTCCAACAGCTCCCACCTGATGCACTACATACACATAACTTTTTAAAAACTCAAAAAGCAGCATGTGTGTATATATGACAGGAAAAGAGAAATGAAAGCATCTAGGGAAATAACAGAGACTAACAAAATGGAAGGCAGGGTAGGTGGGGGGATGTGCTCAATGAGTATGAATTCTTTTAATGATGACCGAGGAAGAAGATAGCTGAGTGGTTTAAGAACTCTGGCTTCGCCGGGCGTTGGTGGCACACGCCTTTAATCCCAGCACTTGGGAGGCAGAGGCAGGTGGATCTCTGTGGGTTCGAGGCCAGCCTGGTCTCCAGAGCAGGTGCTGGGATAGGCTCCAAAGCTACACAGAGAAACCCTGTCTCAAAGAACCTCTCTTCCAGATGACCAGGGTTTGAATCCCAGCACCTACTGTTAGCTCACAACTGTCTATAATTCCAGTTCTAGGGAAGCCAATACTTTCTTTCAGTCTCAGAGACACCAAGTGCACACACAGGCATACATACAGGCAAAACACTCGGAAAATAAAATCACATACAGAAAAAAAGAAAGAAAAGGAAGGAAGGACAGGTGTAGTTGGAAGTTTTTCTCTGTTTCCCTCCTATTGGCCGGGTCCCCACAGCCGCTTATGAAATAATCACTCAGAGGCTGATAAATCAATTGCAATTGTTTGGACAATGGCTCAGATGTATTACTGGCTACCTCTCTTTTATAAATTAACCCATTTCTATTCATCTATGTATTGCTGTGGCTTACTGGTAATGTTCCAGCAGGCAGGGAAGGAAGAGACGGGGAAATCATTGAAGAAGGTCTAATTCTGATAGAATACAGACACAGCATTAGACAAACCCAAAGGTCTGTCCCTGAATCCCTCATTTTAGTTCATTCCAGATGGTTCTCCACTTTCCCACTCAACCATCCTCACATATTAAACAGTACTGAAGAAATACTTCAAAGAGAGAAGATCTGTGAGCTGGATAAGCATATAGATTTGCTTAAGGGCCAGGCATGGTGGATCAAGCCTGTAAGCCCAGACAGTTGGGAGGCAGAAAGAAGATGATCAAAACTTCAAGACCAGCCTCAGCTACACAGAGAGTTCAAAGTCAATCTGGGCTATATAATTAGACACAATTTCAAATCCAAAACAAAAAGTTAGTTAGTGCCAACAGAAAAGGATAGGAGGTGCATTAGGTGTATTAGGGTTCTTCAGAGTCACAGAAGACTCTCTCTCTCTCTCTCTCTCTCTCTCTCTCTCTCTGTGTGTGTGTGTGTGTGTGTGTGTGTGTGTGTGTGATTTATTGGGATGAATTACTGGCTGCAGTCCAGCTAATCCAACAATGGCTATCTGTGAAT